TACACTCACGCCAGAACTTACAAAATTATCTCCACCTACTCTGCTGGAAGCTGTCTGCAGAGCTCGCTTCAAAGTGACTTGCACATCACCAGGGAGCCATGATGTGCAGAGATCCCTGCTAAGCCACTGGGTCTGAGTGATCGCACTGCTGCAGAACAGATTTATTTTTTTTTTTGCTCTTAAAAAGCAAACAAAATGTCATGTTATGGTACCAACCACTGTTCTGGTTTGAAGAGAGCAAAGGAGAAAAGGTAACTCTTCAGATAAACGTGAAACCCTGTGCTTTTAAATTTCTACTCAAAAGGAAGCACTGGGTTTGAGATGGCCACTTTTTGATACTGTTGATATCTCTAAAGTTCTACTGAAAAATGTGAAAATGTTCTCAAGAATGGCCACTCTCTGACCACTGCGATTGCAATGAAAACCTTAACTTAAATGGCCATCTTTGGGTGAAAATGTAAGATGGGCTCACATGATTCTGCACTGAGCTTGTGTCTTTTTTAATTTGGGAAAATAATTTAAAATAAATAAATAATTAGAAAATAGCAGAGGCCCAAATCTTCTGTGAAATCGGTGCAGTTACAACAATTTACAGCAGCACAAGGTGAAATAGTCAAGCTGGGCTCTTGTCTACTTACGGCATCTGGTGCTGCATTAGATTCCTGTGGTGTCTCTCATAGTCTCCAGCTGTGATTCTGGAAGGACAAGGGTCTGATTTAAATCCTCTCCCATAGCTACCAGCCCCATAGAGGTGTGTGGATACTCAGGCAGGTTTAAGAGGCCACTGGACACCATGCCCTTGTCCACAGCCAGTCACTCCCTTAGGGTACATTTGCTGTCTTGGAGTCTTGCCTGGCTAGAGCAACATGGATAGGTGTCGAGGTCTGCTCAGCAGCAGCTAGGAGATTGAGTGTTTGCATGCACCACATTGTTCAGCCTTTGAGAGGGGTGCAAAGGGAAAGGAAAGGAAAACATTAAGGTGAACAGCAAAACAAAAGAAAACAAGGAAGCTTGGCTCAGCACTGAATGCCCTTTGAACAAAGCCAGGCAGGAGTGCAGGGGAGGGGGAGCAGTAGGGAGGGGGAATTTGGCACTGAAATAACTTTTAGCTCACATACAGTGAATTTCCTTTTATCACTAGTAGCCTGGGTCATGGAGACTCAGAGGAAACTCTCCCATTCCAAATGTTTGATACTGCATATATTTGGCTGGCTGCTACTTCCAGATGTGAGTGAATCCAGTTTGTGTGTTTGTCTGATAACAGTTTGGCCTCAATCTTTGCTCTCCCTTAGAAGCACAGAGTACAACTCCACCACCTTTCTACTGCCCCAATTCCTGACCCAGACTCTGCTGAAGAGCCTTGGTGGTGCAGGTTTGAGCAGCTTAGAGGCTGCTGCCATTGGTGCCAACACTTGGTATTTCCAAGGGGCTGCTACTGCACCTGGATCACGGAGATGCCAGGATGACTTCAGACTCATTCATTAGAGTCTGAAGGCATCAGATCCTGTCTTTACAACCGATGGTGGCGGCAAGAAGCATCTCTGCCTCCCAACACTGCTCCATCGACTCTACTGTGGCCAGCTAGGTCTGCTCTAGTGCAAGCCTGCAATAAAACCACAGCACAAATTAGCCTTAGATCAAAGATGATCTGGCCCCGTCTCATTGGTGTTTTTTTCTTTTCTTTCTTTTACCTTTTTAAATTTCTGCTTTATCTGCTTAGGCTGCCTGGTGGCTTTACAAGGCTCGTGAACTCATGACCAAAGAGCAGGAGAAGCTCCCTCGCCCCCCTTGTTAGTGTGCTGTCTGCATCGCATGCAGCCCAACAGCTCACTCCTTCGGCTTTGAAGAAGACTGGGCTCAACTCCTGTGAGGGAGGTGACCAGGCAGATAAATTATTAACGCTGCAGCTGTAAGGCAAAGAAGTTGAGAGAACAGTTGTGAGTACAAAGAAAGAAGGGGGAGACCGGGTATACTCTCCAGATAAGATTAATCCAGAATTCTACAAATTCTACAAATCTCTTGATACAGTCAACTCAACTCCTTTGGTGGAGATATGATTGAGAGGGAAGCGTTCTTTCTACTGGAAAATATACATATATATGTTTGCAGCTATTAGAGTTGCTTTTTTGCAAAGCACTGTGGGCTTCTACAGAAATTACTTTTGGTGTCTGCAAGTTAAAAAAATGTCGTAAGTTGTAACAGTCTTTGGAAAACAGCTTTAAGAGAGCATTGCTTTGACAGAGATAAAAACAGGCACATTAGGAATGAAGAAACTTTATTACATTCAAGGTCTTGCAAACCTTTCAATACACGCAGGGAATGTGTTATGCTGTTGACAACTTTTACAAATGTTTTTTCCGAAAAATTTTATCTTGTATTTTACAGGCTTTTCAGTTTACATATTTGTTTAAATCTGTCATGTTTATTAGAACAAAAAAGAGGTTATGGCTGCTTTTTAATATTTGTGCTATACTTGCACGGACAGGATCTCAGCTGCCCAGCATAGCGGGTTCTCTCCATACGCTATTTTTGTCCGTTGGTGTATATTTATTTTATGTGTCTGTTTATATAGGCAAAATATAGGAAATCCATATGTCACCAGCATGCCTTATTTGTGCACATATAAACATATGTAGGATCAAATGTAACATCTCCTTTTCCTGATACATATGTACTCCCACACTCGGAAACAGACGTTTTCTCTCAATTCATTTCTGCCTCATTGCAGCCTTTCTTAAACAAAATCTGAACCGAAGTGGGTGGGACCTGCAGGTTCAGACCTGCCATGAAGGGTGAATATGAAACAGGGTTCTTGAGGCGGAGGTCGCAGTTGCCACTGAGATGCCTGCTATTTCCACACCATTGGTTCCCCTCCACTGAGGAATGGGCTGAAATGCCAATCTGTTCGGTGGTGCTGGGAAAGCAAGTGAGCATGATTTCTGATTTTTTAGGAGGAAGAGGAAGAAGGAGAAAAGGAAGGAGAAGGAGAAGAGAAGGAGAAGGAGAAGGAGAAGGAGAAGGAGAAGGAGAAGGAGAAGGAGAAGGAGAAGGAGAAGGAGAAGGAGAAGGAGAAGGAGAAGGAGAAGGAGAAGGAGAAGGAGAAGGAGAAGGAGAAGGAGAAGGAGAAGGAGAAGGAGAAGAGGAGGAGGAGGAGAAGGAGAAGAGGAGGAGGAGGAGGAAGAGGATGAAAAAGGCTTTCACCAGAAGGCCCGTGCTGTCTCCCCACGCGTGTCCGACCCCGCGGGAAGCAGACCCGGGCTCGGGTCCCCCCCGCCGTGCTCAGGCGGCCGCTAGGGGGGGACCGGGCTCAGGCTGTGCGGGGAGCGGCCCCGGGTGGGCGCCGGGCTGGGCAGGGACCCCCCGGCCGCCTCTCCCCCCAAGTGCCCCCGACAGCCGCTGGACGGACTCGACCTCCCCCCGCCGCGGGGAGGGGGCTGAAGCTGGGAGGCTGCTGGGAGGCTACTGGGAGGCTACTGGGAGGCTGCCGGGCCGAGGGTGGGAGCCCACCTCAGCCCCCCCCCCCCCGCCCGGCTCGGCGGTGGGCGCGGCGGGGAGCTCCGGCCGTCGGGGGGCTGCAGCATCCCCCGCCGCACAGCCCCCAGACGACGACTTCCAGGCAGCTGGAAACGCCTGAGTGTTTCTTCCAGCTAAAATAAAATGCTAGCTTTTTTTTTTTTTTTTTTCCTTTGCTTTTTTCTTTCAAGAAAAGTATTTTTATTGAGTCCTATTCCACGCTAGCGTTAAGACACTAACGGCACTGTAAAAAGAAGTCCCTATATATCACTCAGTCAAGTAGTCTAAACAACCGCATTGGAAGTTTTCCAGTGTTGCCCAGTCAATGACCACAGAACGTATTTGGAAAGCAATCATTAGCAGTGGCAGTCATGTAATCCTGCCTTTCTGCCCGGCTGTTCCTCAGGAGAGACGCACACATCCCGGTGGCTTTGCAATGTATACTGTTAAGAGGTTAAGTGCATATTTAACATGTGATTATCACACCCGGAGAACCCATGACACAAGACAGAGTGTGGGTTTTTATGGCTACGAGGAGTCACAGCTACATCACAGTCCTAGAAGATTTCTCCAGCTCCGAAGAAACTGCACACAGTCGATTAAGAAGGATTAAGTTTATAAGCAGGCAGTTATTAACAAGATTCTTCCGGGTGTCTTTTTCATGGGAACCTGACGAGACACTTCAAGCACCCTCCAGAAATAGTACCTCCCTAGATGAGACTGCAGTGCTTTGGATGTTGGATAAAAGAGAGGGAAGGCCAAGTCCTTCCAATAGCATACGGTGACTATTTGTCATTATAACAGACCAGCTAATTCATCAAATATGTTGTTAAAAAAAAACAAAACAAAACATGGGGAATAAATGTGTAACCCTTATTCTTCTATGCACAGGACTTGGTTAATTGCAAGAGAAGAATTGCAACAACAAAGAGCCAGGTCTGCATCTTAGTTTCCTTATCGACGCAGAGGATAATCCTGCAACACTCATCTTCCTCCTAATAGATTTTTGTGCAACAATGCATTAATCTGAAAAATGCATTTGTATTTTCAGGCAGTGATAAGCAAGCATGATGTAATCTATTCTAAAAAGTCTTCTGTAAAACAATATACTTGATGTACCTAATTTGAGCTGACAAGTTTTACATAGGTTGTCATATTTAATCAGTGTATGTCAGCTATTCTGAAATGTAAAGTGGCATAAACAGTTACTTACTTCTAGCCGGTATCATACAGACATTGGAAGTAATAATATGCACAGATTTCATTGACTTTACAATTAGCGGTGTTAAGAACATTAAAATGATAAAGTTGCAGGACAAAACTATAATCAGTCTGATGGATGTGTTCATATCAAATCTTTTTGGAAACTATCCTACATCTTTGTATTGTTTTCATGGCTCATTATAACCTTAATAATTATTCTTGTCTGGGTATTTAGCCCTGAAAATAACAGTAACATTGTCCTATATTCCTCCCCCCCCCCCCCCTTTTTTTTTCCCTATAGGATAAATGGGAGAATGAGTTTGTGTGTGTGCAGGTGTGTGCATGTGCCTGTGTATATGAGCAAGCAGTATAGAGACAGTGTCTGAAGCATCCAGTGAGGGGATGGACAAGTTCAGTATGCAAGCTCTACCTTTCGCTGTGATTGCTACACGACTTTTTGCCTCTGAGTTTCCTTATTATTCATTGGCCAAGGTCATGTCTAGTTCCCCCCCAAAATGAGTCTTTTTATGTACACCCTCCTACTTCCACTCACGCATTTTGGTATGAATGCTTCCCCACAGAAATGCTGAGAATCACATGAATGCATAGAAAAGCTGGAGGCACCCCTCATTTGAAACAACATGCAGCTGAAAGCCTTGCTTTCTGCACCTTTCCTTTAAAATACATATTTTTTTAATGTTATGTAGCCCTACATGAGAACAATTCCTACTGTAATTCAGCAATCTGATCTTGCAACAGACTAGTTTCTTCCTGTATGAAGTAAAAATGCAGAGACCTCCCTGTTTCCTGCTGCAAATATCGCATCTAGTATTTCTCTACCCTCGCTAGACCTTACGTCTAGACTTACACAGCAGAAAATCCCTCTTTGAATGTATTGGACACCACTTGGTGTGACTGCTGCAAAGAGAAACTTTCACAAAATTGCTTGCTGTAATCAATATCCTGACACTCCACTGTGCATGTTATAGGATTGTCACAAAGTCTCTGATTTCATCAGCCCACAATGAATGTGGTTGCAGCAAGTAATCTTAATACCCAATAAAATTATTTTACAGACGAGAAAAAGCTCTCTCTCCCCCCCCGGTATTGAGGAATTTGTGAGTAGGGCTTTGCAGACTTGCAATATTTAAATGAAGCTTATAGACAAAACAACAACAAGATATCTTAAATACTTTTAATAACATGGTCAAAAACCACATGGCTCCTCTTAAAGGCAATCATGGAAGTTAAAGAGCAAAATAAGGTGCCTGATTAAATGTAGAGTCATGGAAGGATACCTTATTATAGATAATTACTTGTAACACACCTGAATACTTTTAATGCAGAATCTCATAACTTCAAATAGTTGCAATTTCTCCAAACAACGATATAGATTAGCCAACAGATTACTATGTTTATTTAGCTTTAAAACAAAGTTTTCTCTGAAGCCACTGGAGTTATTACTCTCCTTTTATACCATCCTGGTTTTGTGAAATTGTAGAACAGCATAATTTTGCCTGCAAAAAGAAGATTGGTATTTGGACCATTCTATTCTGTATTTATTAACTGTGTTTTCATGTTTGCACTTTTGTTTTTCTTTCCCTCTCAGCATCTTTTCTTACATGCTTGGCAATACAATTGCTAAGAAGTTAAATGACCCTAATGAAACCGAACACAGGTTCAGAACTGTTCCTAGCAAACAAATTACAGTTGTGACTTCATGGTAATTTGCAGGGAGTTGTAGCACCACTGATAGGAGCCTCCCCCCTGCACGTACACACACATGCATGTGAACATGGCAACAGAGCTATCCTGTATACCTACTTCTCCCTCATGAAACCAAAGCTCTGTCCTTCCAGTGCCCTGCTCTGTAAACTGCATTTTAAAATTATTTCCCTTGCTTCAGAGGAGGTAGATGTATCCTTGAAAAATGCATGACTAGGTGTACGTTAGAAGTAATTCCCTTTGGGAAAATAACATGTATTGTCCTCAGGATGACATCCCAGGTATATCTCTACTGGGAAAGTCTCCATAGCGTAGACTAACAGCATCCCAGTTTCTTGTGAGGGCTTCCCATGCCTGCCTCCATTACCCATACTGGTGACCAGTCCCCACTGCCCAATCTAGTCCTGGAGGGACGTGGCATATCCAAAGTGCTTCTTGGCCATTCATCCTCCCAGTGTTCCTGGGACACAGAAAGTTCATCAGCCTTACTCATTCCATGCTGTTTGAGAGATGGGAGAGGAGGAGAAGGAGGTTGAAGACCTGTCCAAGACCTGCAATGGCCGAGCCCAGCATAGATCTGCTCCCAGTTTCTGCTCGCTCTTCCAGACCTTTCTTTTTTTTGGCACCCCCCCAAACTCATCCTGCGGTTCGTGAACCTTAACAAACCTTTCAGTGAAGCTTGTCTGGGTTTTGGATTGGTAAAGAAATTTGAAACCAGGCAAGGTTTTGTGTTGGTGTGTGCTGCACTGTGAAAATTTCACATGCCTGTTTTTCACCCCACTTGTTCAGCCATAATACCACGGCAAGGCAGGCCAGAAAAGTGCAGGTTTTACTGAACAGCACAGTTTATAAGTAGAAGGTGGTGAGAGTGGCGGGTATGGAAAATGGGTTTTCAAGAGTTTATGAAAGTTACCACTTCCTTTGGGAATCCACATTCCTTGCAAAATCTATTCCTATTCCCACCCATACAATCCCTTTGTTTTTACTGCAGTGGTCCTGTGTATCTAAGAATTTGGCACTATGTATTTGTTAACAGAGTCTTCATGCGTGGTTTGAATTACTCATAAAATCCTGTTTTCCGCAACCTTTACAGAGAAATACAGAGTAGCTAGGTTAACTGAAATCAAAGGAAAGCAATCTTAAATCTTTCATAAAATTTTAAACAAGAAAGGACGAAGGGCTCAAACAATAGTGTTTTTAATATGTCTGTGCTTGTGCACTCTTGAAACCAGTTCGCAAGTCAGCCGTGAAAATGTGCAGCCTGAAACATGTTTTCTGCTTGCACGGAGGCAACTAGCCCACTAATCTTCACCCCGAATGTAGACGTGCACTGCAAAAAGAGCACAGCCTGTGCAAGCTCTTGCTCAGCACAGTAGTCCTTATTTACTCCCCTGGGGCTTTTCACTGCAGCCTATGGAGTATTAGATTAATGGGAGCAGTGTGAGACCCTTGCTTGAGATCAGGCTCTATGCTGTTGATCTGCACTGAGGAACAGGAAGGTACAAGAAGCTCTTTTACTTTCGCTTCATAGCCTGTTTCTCTTGTGTTTTAAGGAACAATACTTCCCATCAAATTGCCATGTAAAATTTTATTGTGTCTACTCAAGCTGTGCTAAAATGGAAGGCAAGTAATCTGCCTCAGTCAACGTGTTGCTGTATGTTTCATTTTCTCAGTAGAGCTAAGGTGGTAGGCAGACATCCGCTCTCGGATCCAATTGTGCTGACCAAAGAATCCACCATCTCTGCTGCTTCACACTTCCCCCCATCTGCTCCGCACTCCCCGGCTCTGCCAGCGGAAGGGCTTGCGGGAGAGTTTAGGTAACCCACTGCAGGCAGGGGCTGCTAGGAGGGCTAAATCCACTCTCAGCAGCCATCTGACACAAAGGAGTGATCATTTCTTTTTTTAGCTGTACTGATCTTAAAGAAAAAAAAGGGGGGGAGAAGAAGGGGAGACACCATCTCGCCCTACAAACCTCATCTTGCTTATATTCCCATCCACTGCTACAACAGTATTATATGTAGGTAGGCAGCCAGACAGATAGACAGATACATTTTTTGTCCTAATGAGACACAGCCTAAAAACATAAGCTACTGCATGCAGGCACTCATTTTTCCTCAGACCGTCGATTTTTTTTTGTATCTGAAGATCCCAAACAAATGTTGGGGCACACAAAACTCTCTGTGTAAGATGCTTGTCCATTTTCTCCAGCTCTGTCTTTCAGTTTACCAAAGAATTATTTTTCCACTGCTTCTCTAGAATACGGTAAAAGCAATAAGGGGGAAATGTCTTACCATGAAAGAGGGTCAAAGTAATTGCTGGAGATGCATACAGTTTAGGTGTGCTGTGATGGTTCTGACATGAAACCCATTGATCTGTCCACTCCTTTTGACCTCTTTTCATTCTTCATGACATATGTCGTGCATGGTTAGCACATTTCGTTTCAAGTTTCCTGTTCCCTTGCTTTATCTCCTTCCTTGCATGAACACAATCGTTATGAGAAGATATTTACCATCCATACCTTGCATCTCTGCGGATAACATGTCAGGTACGGCTTTCGCAGACATACAGCATGACACATTACATTAGAAGGTTTACTTTGCTAAATATTGTTTGCTGATAATTTTACTCTTTTGTGATGTTTCTTCGACAGACTGTTTTTGACAGGCATTTTCCAGGCAGCTCGGTAACATCTAAATCAAACCAACCATTCTCCTGCATAAAATGAAAAACATAATCAACAGCACCAGGACATCCCGGCAGATCAAGTAATTTTTCTCTTAAATCTTAGCAGTTTTCTGACTCGAAACTTTTATTTTCTAAGGATAGCTGTAACGCTGATAGCAATTTAGCTTCAAGCATTCAGACAGCACACAACCCTCCCCCCCTCCCAATTTGCCAGAGAAAAGGCATCTGAAGCAACATTTTCTGTAAAAGGATAATTAATGCTAAGTTACTACAAGGCTTGTTCAGAAATGGTGGCATTAACCACAATCAAATTTAGGTGTGTTTCTTTTTTTTTTTCACAAAAATATAGGTGATGTGTAAATTGACCTATCACACACAGAGTGTATGATTTCCAATTTTGTATTCTTGTTTCTATTGCAATTTTAAAATTATTTTTATGAACCACAATATCCTTTAAACTGACTGCCTGCAAAGGACAGGGACATAGAGGGTTGTCTAAACCTCTACAAGTGTGCTGAAAGTTTCTTTTGTCTTACACACCAGCTAACTTCTCGATTAGATAAAGAACTAAGAAAACTACTCTGGTGGATAAGATGGCAATCAAATGTGGAAATCTTCACTGTATAGAGCACCCTGGGGTTTGTTAAATATCTGCAGATCTGCTTGTTGTAAGTGACAATGTTTATTCTTGCAAGTGAATTCCAAGATAGCCTGGCTTCCTTGGGGTTTAATCTCAGCCTTTTTTTGTTTCTCTGATTAGTTGAAAACTGTAGCAGGTCACCCAGGCTCTTTGAAGAATGAAGGGTCTCATTCCAGGGTGAGGCCCAGCGAATTTGTGAATGAATGAAAAGTTAATTGAGGAAAAGGGCAGAGCATACTTCAGTCATAGTTAATTTAAGAAAAGCTGATAAGTTAGTAAATAGAAACACCAGTATATTCTTTCAAGTAGAATTTCTGCTCTTATGGATATCTTAGGTGCTGTTGCTCTGGCCATTCTAGAGATTGGTGCTTGTCGCTGACACTTTATTATCTAATCTCCTGCCCAAGGAGAGATTCTGTAGTGTTGAGTAATTACGAATAGATTGAGCTTGGCTGGAAAGTGCCTTCACAAAAATCCAAGGGAAGCTTATGCTCTGTAAACTTTGTGAATTTTATTTTAACCTAGAAAATACACATATATGTTATATGTATAGTACTAACAAACATTGTGGAAAATACCATGAATGTTGTAGTCCATCATTTTTTAGGGAGGTGAATGAAACTGTTGAATCATGTTCTGGATTTTTATTGCACTTCAAATGTCTTTTGTAAGCACTGCAGGATTGTAGTAAAATACAAAAATGGAGTAGTGACTCGATAAAAGCCATCTATTCAATTTAAAACTGTTACATTAAAGCTATAAAAACAAAACGCAAAAAACTCATGTGCAAGCAAATGAAAGGCACTCTTTCTTCATGTGTAGAGAAGTGGAAGAGAAAGCTGTGTTTTGCTGGAGGAAAGCTGCCTAAGGAAAATGTGTAACTGTGAGCTGTGCAAGGAAGGGAGAGCAATGAGAAAAGCAAGGGCCACAGGCAGCAGCTTTTAAAGCTTCTGTAACAACAGGTTTTTTTGTTTTGGTTTGGTTTGTGTTTTTTTTTTATTGAGTCAGTGAAGCCACAGCAGACAGCTGGATAGACAGAATCAAACATTTCTTCAATTTTAAATATGCTTTGGGCTCGCGTGGGACTTGCCAGCCACGCATCTCAGAGCACCCTGCCAACATCTCTCCAATCCTCTGAGGTGAGTGTTATCCTCACTTGGTAGATAAGGAAAAATGGAGCAGGAAACGTGTAAAGAATTTGCCATACGTCACACCAGAAGACTGCAGAACAGTTAAAAATAAAAGATAGTCTGAATAAAAACAGCACAATTTGGGGGAGGGTAATGACTCAATACTCTGGTTCCTGGGATAGGAAACTTACCCCTACCTTCCAGGGCACAGGCTGGGCTGTGAATTAACGTGTCCAAGTTACCTGGATTGGAATTACCCCACTGGAAAAAGAGAAAGGGGTGTTTCAGGTTGGGATACAGGAGGGCTGGAGCCCTGCTCTCAGGTGCTGTCATGGCCATGTGGAGACTTAGGGAGGCCAAAGCCTCTTCCTGCACCTCAGCTGCTTGCTTGTCCAGGGTGGGGACGGCAGCACCCACCTTTATTTGAAAACAAGAAAAAGCAAGTGATCTTGGGTCCTTGGACACACACACACAGTACTGAAAGTCTGGGGTTTCCATTCCTTTAATCTCAGGCCTAGATTAAACTCATTGAATTTGACTTTAAAATCCTAAAAGAAACAAGTAAGAGGTGTCCACTGCACAAGTTTTGCAGGTTTGTAACGGAGGCCTACCAGGGCCCCCATCTCCTTCTCCCTTTCTGTCTCTAGCAAAGGGAATGGCAGCGATTCGGATCGCTGGCCTTTTGGTTTCCCCCTTGAAGAGCAGGCCCTGCTGATGAGGGGAGCTAGCCATTGCCATGGCTAGCCATTGCCACTGCTGCGTGTGGACATGCACAAATTGATCTGTAACAAGGCTTTCTTTGGCAAAAGCTAAGTAATATCAGATCTGCTACTGCTGCTAGTGAAAGAGCCACCTCAGCCATTACAGATCAGAAACCTACCTCATGACTATGTTAAGGGTGCCAAATACACGTCCACTGCCTCTTCTCACACAACACTTTGATGACATGTAATGAAAACGTAATTTAATTAATCTGTAATCACATATAATAACAACTGCAGTGTGATTTAAAGATGTCTACACTGGCAGAACTGGCTCCAGGGAGAAGGAAATGGGCCTGAGGTCCCAACTCCAGCTGGGATTGGGGAGAAGAGCCCGTGCCTGCTTGACTCTAACCCTATGTCCACAGCCCTGTCTCCAGCTGCATGGTACCACAAACACAAATCCCCACAGCCCTCCCACGCACCCTATTCACTAACCCAACCAATTTAATTTCTGTGCTTAAACAATACTGGACACAGAAGAAATTGTGCTGTCAGGGGGTTGCAGGCCAGCTACTTTGCTGACCTGTAGCTCCTCTGAAGCAGAGATTTGTCTTACAAAAATAGAAACAAGAGCTATGCTCTTTCTGCTGATACCAAGACATCATTATCAGCAAAATAAACAGCAACTGATTAAATGAGAAGCTAAAGTTTTAGTTGCAGGGGCAACTTCTAGCAGCCTTAGGTCATGTTCAATTTAGGTAATCATGGTCAGCCCTATGCATAACCACAACTAACTAGCATGATTTTAATCATTTTTTACCATGGATACAAAGTACAAAGGTTTGTTTAAAAATATGTTGATTAAAACCTAGGAGTGAGCCCACTTCAAAAGCCTTCTCAAAATTGCATACATGGGTCCAGATCCAAAAAAGAAAAAAAAAAAAAAAAGGCACCTGAAAGTCACATGATTCAGTGTTTCATTTGTAAGCCCTTGACTCCAGAGAGCAATGCAAGCACATCCTGACTCTGGCACCCAAATGTGCTCAGAGGAAGGAGGTGGCTCCTTGGGGACCCAGCAGGAGCTCCTCATGGCCAGGACACACAGAGCAGTGCCTCTGGAGGCCCATCACTACCGTGCCCTCTCCTGAAACACAAACAGGGCTTCCAGGCCCTCAGAGCTTCTCTCTCGGAAGCCAGTTCCTAAGTCGTGGTGCCAATACACTGCGCTGTGATGGCTAATGTGGCAGAGGTTATAGAGTGTTTGCCCAGGCTGAGGTTCAGCCCTTTCCTTTCTGAGAAGGGGCCTGTGCCCAACTCCTGCTGCCAAACCTCCAGCCTGGTCAAGACCAGGAGCCATCAGGGATGGACTTTGGCTTCCTCACCACTGGGTGGGCAGGGTCCTGGCTTACCAAGCAGGGCCAGCCCTTTCATCCATTATCCGCTCTGCACTCAATCCAAAATACCTAAGTGCGGACGGGGACCAGGACATGGCTCTCTGCCCCATGGCAGGGACCTCCTGAGGGGCAGCTGCTTTGATTTATCTCTGGCCTGTGTGGCCAGGACTCCTCTCCCTTCCACAGATGTCAGTGCGGGGAAGTGTTGCCGCAGCCCAGGGCCCTGCCACCTCCCCTCCTGGCCCCCTCCCCAGCCCCCAGTGGCTCCAAACGAGAAACTCAGGAAACCCAAATCCTGGGAGCAAAATACAAAGCACATGGAGGAAAGATGCTGCGCTCGTGTCTGCCACCACCTTTTGAAAGAAGGGAATCTTGTGTTTTTTGTTTTGTTTTGTTTTGTTTTTGGTCTGCCCTTTGTTTTTTTCCTTCTCGTCTTTTAAAAGTGCAATCTTTAATTCTGCAGCTCCTCTGCTACCCATTGCGTTGGTGTTTTTTCTCACTATAACCAGAGAAAGTGAATTTTATTTATTGTAGCTTAAGACACTCAACTTTTAATTTGAAAGAAGCCATTTCCCTCCAATTTTGTTGGAACTGCCTCCACCAACCCCATCCCCCAGCACCACATTTTTCCTCTGGCCAATTCCCACCATGGCACCGAGCGCTGCCGAACCTGGGCCGGACCCACTCTGCCCCTTGCCAGGCTGTGGTGGGCACGAAGCGCAGTGCCAGGGGGTATGGGGCATGCCAGGGGTGGAGGAATTGAGCCCCGTGTGCAGGGACCCTGCAAGGCAGCGTGCTGAATTTAAACTTTGACCTTTTCCCTCTCTCTGCTGTGATACACAACAGGCACTTACCAAACCCAAGCTGGTGAAATACATGTAACAGCCTTTTTTTTTTTTTTTTTTTTTTTTTTTTGGCTTTTGTTTTGTTTTTGCTAACGATGAAGCCGTGCCAGTTGAGAAGTCAGTCTTTTTGATCCTTTGCAAAGCTAGCAAATACCTCCATGTTGCCAGTTTAGCTATAGGTGTGAAAAATATTTACAGGGTTCTATTTAAAACTGAAACAGAAAAAAAAAATAAAGATCAGTCTCCTTCCACCCTCAAAAATAATAAGCTATGCCTTCCACTAACTGTCCTCTAAAGGTTTTCTTCTTTTAGGTATAGAACATGGTAATGCGCTCTGGGGAATACACTTTTAATTACAGCTACCACTTTTATTTTGGTTTTAATTACAGATTCAGTGCTTAAAAAAAATATATTTCAAATGAGTTAAGTTCTCTAATTACTTTAATTTCTTTGGATTTTTAGGCCTTTTAAAAGTCAACTGGATAAGGCTTTTCCATCTCCCAGTCAGTTAAGGCAAACAAATGCCATTCCTACTTGATGTTCTTTAAGCTTCAGTGATTTTGTTATTTTAACATCTCTTAAATGTAAAGAACTTTTCAAGATGTCAATTCTCCCACCAATAAACTTAATTAAAATGTACATTTAAATGAAAGAGATAATTAATTCACACCATTCCATTTGCTTATTACTTGACAGTCAGGGTGTATTAAAAGCTCAGACCTGTGAAAAGAAAACACACAGAAAGAGGCACAAATAAAACAATCGGCATCAAAATATCATTTTCTGTCACCATTTTCCTATGTTCCTATAATAAAACTGTCAACTGCGTGAAGTTATTTTCTGCTTTTTATGAGAGTGGATTATCCTCACTTTCCAGTGAATTAATTTCACTGACACTGTAAATTTTTGTTTGCACTCGTTTTTCTTTTTAATTTTAGAAGTCATGATGGTTATGGCTATTGCTATATTTAAACATCCCCCACCCCCCTGAATGGCCGCCTGGACTATCAGTAACTTTTTCCAGCTAATTCTGTATAACAAGTCAGTGTTTCCTTTGTTTGAAAGGTGACTTCGAGAACCAATCACTTCCAGCTAGGAATAATACCCATTTAGTTATTTTTTTATTATTATTTTCTTTACAAAAATCTAACCCCTGTGGGATTTTGAATGGAATGTGTTTTGTCTCAAGGCAAACAAATAATGTTTGTAGAAAGTCTAATTATTAGCAAACCACTCTTTTCTTGTTCAGGGGGCTGTATTGATTGGGGCGAGAGCTCCCTTTGGTAAAGCCGGGCCGCGCTGGCCTTTCAGTGGCCGGCTGATTAATTCCCCCACATCTAGCACAGCCAGAAGAAAGGCACACGGAAACAAAGTTGGTTTTGTCAGCAGCTCTGGTCCCCCTTTGCTCTGCTCGGAGGCGCCTGGCCAGCACGGGTGGCAGGGCACTGCCAGCCTCCTGGCTCTCCCCCAGGTACTCGAGGGGCGTACATTGGTTTTCTCCCCAGCTTCCCAAAGGGCACCAACCGCTCTCAAGTGGCTGGAACCATGCTCTGTGTGTGCGCTGGAGCCTTCTGGCCTTGCAATGGGAGGAAAAGCCTCACTTTTGGCCCAAGTGTCATGGAGAAACAGGAGTTGTGGCTTTGTCGTTTGGTGTGTTGGTTGTCTGGGGGAGAGAGAGGGGTTTGAGCAGCCCACCTGGGAACATAATGAGGGGTGATGAGGAATCTCAGCTTCCAGAGATCTCCCCCTTGACCCCAAAAGCAATCAGATAACCTCTCCCTGGTTGGGTTTCCAGGGAAGGGCACGTCACATTACTGGAAAGTGAGGGTTCAGTAATGGCCAAAACATTTACCTAAGGCCCTCTTTAGGAAGCTGTTCTTAGGATGTGGTGAGAAGGAACTACACTGAGGAGCCTCTGGTACAAGCTGTCTCTGGCAGTGTGAACACAGCTGATCTGTTCTTGACTGCATGACTGGCTAGGAAACTTTGACTGTGAAGACTCTGTGACTGTCAAGAAAAAAATGAGTGAAGTACAAAGGATATTTTGGGCATAATAGCTAGTCATTCCGGACACTAAGGAAATACCCACATAGACACGCATCACAAAATGTTACATATATGGAAATGTTATGATAGCTCATACTGCCTCATCATTTCCATTAAAAAGTTCTGTTTTCAGGGATTTCATAATTCACCCATAAACATTTATTCTGGGGCAAAACTAGATGTACCATATCCCTTGAGAGAGAGTTTTAAAAAACCTACTACCCAAACCCAGTAAGTTGATGCAGAGGAAATGTTTTATTAACAAAAGTTCTAACCAAAAATGGTTAGTAGCAGAATAACAGGATTGTTTTGTGCATCCGTACTTTCTGAGACCATCAATATATTGTACTTTCTTGATATTCCACATCCCACATGGGATTATGAAACTGCTAGCAAATGTTAATTATTTTTCAGTGTTGCCTTCAGGTAGAGCAGAAGTTATTCCCTCTTGACACATGAGGAAACAAAAGGGTTCAATGTGATAAAGACACAAATGGCATAAGATGAGACAATTCCCAGTGTCACTGATTCTCTAACTTCCTTCTTTAAAATACCACCTCTTTTTTAGATACAAAAATGTGTGTCCTTGCTTTTGGCATGGAAAAACAAAGACAAGTTCATTTGATTTTCATTGTGATTTAGCAATGTACTTCAATAAATATGTACTGCATCACCTTTGAGACTACAATACACTGGAGTTTTGTCTCCATATTAAATGACTGATAGTAACAAAACTAGGTATATTATCACCCTAGAACATTTGTGCTATTATATCGAAAGAGGGCAGAGCAAAGTACTAGAGGCACCAAAGTTGTGCAGGTTACAAAGTGTAAGGTGGTGTCTGTCCTAGGAGGAGACCTCCCACACTCACATAACTGGAAACACCTTCCACTTAGCACTGGTTGTCTTAGGAACTGAACATCATAAGAAACACCAATTCATTGAAAATTAATTATAAAAAAAAAAAAAGTAAACAACACAACCTTCCCACCCTGGGTGATTTCTTTCAAGTTTTTAGGACACATTTCTCTCACCTTTTCATGCTTTTTTTCTATAGTTCAGAAAGGGATAGTGTGCTTCCTGATCTCTGCATATAAACAGAAAATCACTGGGATCCAGGAGCTGAGGTTTCAGATACTGGAGATGGGCAAATACTAAACATTACGTCTCCACTTCTGTTGGGCTTACAACCCCAGATGCTACTGTAAACAATTTAATTTCTGCCAAGCTCGTGACCCCACTTGTAACTTCTATGACCCCACTTCTGGCCATGAATTCTAGATTGGGAACTGCTGCTGGAGATATCTGATTGTTTATTTCAAACATTATGCTGAGGGTCACTAGCTTCCCCCCCACAACAGATGAAAACATCAGGAGCTGGACTCCAGTAAAGTTGCGAGACTGAAAATTTTGAAGTGTGGTCATTTAAAGCCTTGTCTGTAAGTCTGCCTTTCCATTTCAACACCTCCTCCCTGGGTGCAGAATGTATGCATGACCACCAGAGCCCTACCAACCTCCACAGATTTATAGCGAGCGAAGTAACAGTGATACCCTCTGGAAAAGAAACCTTGTGAAAAAGAAACCCATGGCAGAAATCATGTGTTATCTGCTGAGATCTCAAGGCTTTTCCCTCATGTAGAAATTGCTGGTGATGATGCCAGCTCAGCCCAGCCCAGCTTCCCAGGCCAGCTCCATGTCCAGGCCCAGGCTCCCTGGCAGGGTTTGGGCTGTTCCTTGGCCTCTGTCTTGCCCCAGATGCTGGCGAGGGCAGCAGCCCAGCTTGCACCCAGCTTGTGGTGGTGTTGGAGGAGGGCAGGAGCTAGCACACGACCAGGGCAGCCTCCCCATGGGCAGGCTGCTGCTCATTAGGGCCAGAGCCCCACGCTGCAGCTTGTCTGAGCAGCCCGTGGCCTTTGGTGCTTCTTTATGACGCGTAAAGAAACCCTGAAATGATATTTTTCTTTTAGCGTTAGAAATTCAGGTGTTGTCTGGCTCGGAAATCTCCGAGGCAACCGGGGAGCAAGGAGAAACAATGACATTACAAGAGCCAAGAGAGTGAAAGCTGAGCAACTGAGAACCATTAGCAGGGTTGCCAACTCTAATGGTTTTCCTTACGGGCTTCAGGATTTCAGACCCTCAGAAGGTTTTGGAGGGTTAAGCTGTGCCTGTAGGAAGAGCTCCCCTGGCTGTTTTTTTTCTCTCTCCCACCAGCCTCCCGGGGAAGCAGTCACCCAGGGATGCTGCAGCTACATCCCCCCACGGCACCAAGTGCCCGAGGGCTTCGCTCCTGGCTGCCTGATTCCCCTGCTCACCACTTCACGAGAGGGGTGCCCTAACGGGAGGCATATACCAAGAGCTAAAGGAATAGTACTAGCCGAGTTAGCCGCTCCATTAATTAATGCAGCAAGGCTAAATTGTGTTTGGAGGAGGGATAGGTGGGCAGTCAATTTGGGGGGCTGCAGGGATGGAGAGGTTTTGTGCATGGGAATTATCCCATATTTATACATGAGAGCAGCATGCAATAATGCTTCTGTGTAGGGGCTGGAGCAGTTCCTGGGGGTGGAGTGCCATCCCTCTCTGTCAACGCTATGGGTTTGGAGTTGGCTGCAGGACAGAAACGCTGTGACAGAAGCAGGTTATCCCTCCCCACGGTCGTGGGACTGTACACAGCAGCACTGCCCTGGGATTTGGGGTGGGTGGGAGTGGGAGAAAAGCAATGAATGGTTTCTCTGTGGTAGAGCACACTTTGCTAATTGCTTCTTATAGTTGTGCTGTGAGGAACTCATGTTAAGCACGTAAACAGAGTTCTGACATATTATGCCAGGGACCTAATTTTGAAAAGTAGATACCAAGCCTGATCACCACCTGGTCCTTGTTTAATAATAAGTTCTTGTGACTTGCTTCACCTGACATTTGTTAGACCTGTCTCTTTGTTTTGCTGATTAAAGAAGCATTTATGGAATGGTAGTGAAATAAATGTGGAGGAAAAGTCTATGACAATGGTAAGTCTGTGGCACAAACCCTGTAAATGGAGTTGTAAGTTAATTCTGAAAAATCTCCCCTTGCTTTTCCCTAGGTATTTCACAGTTGTTCTGTATGTTAACATGTTCCACACAGGGGTCAGCAGTAGTTAACCATAATGAGGTAATTACAAGGTACATTGAGTACGGATGTATGTTAAGGGACATACATTAAGGATGTAGACTAATGTTGCTGCGGTGACAGCAAGTTCAGGATTTGAAGTAATGTTCTATATATTGAATACCTTTAATATCACTTTTTTTTAATAGACTTCACCAGCTTTGTTTTTCCTTATTACTGTATGAATCACTGTGTATATATTTATCTCTGTGTGTGGAAACTAACTACAGAGGTCAGGGATGTCAGTTAATGATGTGAAATGTAATAGGTGTCTCAATTTGGCTGAAGATTTTGTTTTGTTTTGTTTTCCTGCAGATTTGAAATGACTGCAGATTTCAGCAGATTTAAAATGAGAAAATATGCTAAGCTTTTTTTTTGCTTTTTTTTGCTTTTTTTTTTTTGTGCATATGTGTGTATGTGATTTTGAAGAATAGTTGCAGAAGAGGTGAAGAGGAGGCAATAGGAAAGCTGGCCATGTGAAACAGCTGTACTAGCTGCAGAGAAGAGGAATAATGTGTGAAAGGAGTTGATAGTGAAGACAATACACAGTTACATCATGAACACAGCTTTCGTAGATATCTGAGCTACTTAAGCAAGGTAGCAAGCATAAGCTCCCCTAGCAGGGGGGCTCACAGCAGCAAGCAGCTCAGTTGGGGTGGTAAAAACCTGCTTCAGGCTGGCTAAAGGCTTGCCTTGGGTGGTAATCTGTGCTGAGCAATGAGCTGCTGTGATACCACCACCAGCAGCACCTGTGCTGCTCATTTAAAACCTGTCCCTGAAGTGGTTTGCAGGTGCCTGTGGTACAGTTGCACCTCGCACCTCTGCAGCACAACAGCACTAAGGGCAAATTTGGAGTCTTGTCTTGAAGAGAACGAGGAGCCTCTACGGATGCTCTAAAATATATGATTGAACTTTAAACTTGGTTATTTTAAATTATGGTATTTCTATCTTTGGTAATACGGGCATTTAATACAATGTTGTATATGACAACTTACTTGCAGTTAAATCACTTTAGGGTGAATGCATCACCTAAACCGAGCTATCAGCATGCATTTTGTGTGTGGCTTGGTTACCTGCTCTAACCTATACCCAGACATGCAAGTGTATGCATGTACAGCAGATATATAATTATCCTTATACAAATAGACGCATTTAACACAGGATTCTTATTTACCTTGCTAGCCTAATTAACTGCAAGGTCGGAAATACTGTTTTTTTTTACCAACACGCGGAGTCATTAAATTAAACCTGCCTTAACATTCCCAGTGTTGAAACCATCAACAAAGCAACAAACCCTAAAAGCGCTCTGAGAAGGAGGATAACACTCGTGGAGCAGGGGAGTGCGATCTCCCTTGAGATCACAGCTTTCTCGACCCACTGCCGCTGCTCGGGTGGGTGCCTCTCACACCGGGGCCCCGTCGGATGCCAGGAGCCCGGAGCCTGAGTCAGGGCTTCCTGCCGCAGCCGGGACCGCCCCCGCGGGGGCTTACTCACCGGCCGTGCCGCCCCCAGCCCTGTCCTTCCCTTCCCTTCCCTTCCCTTCCCTTCCCTTCCCTTCCCTTCCCTTCCCTTCCCTTCCCTTCCCTCCCCTCCCCGGTCCCGGCCGCCCTTTCTGGGGCTGCGGCGGTGGAAAGTAATCGATCTTGTTTAGGAGCCGGTGCGCGGCTAACACTTCCTGCAGTAATTTGTGACCGCGGCTATTGCCGGTGCTCGCCCCCTTCGCTCGCCGCCCCGACGCCGCGCAGTCTGCCGGGGAGGAGCCGCGCCGCCGGGCGAGGGGGCAGGGCCGGCGGGGAGGGGAGGGGAGGGAGGGAAAGAGGGGAGGGGAGGAAATCCCCCTCCGCAGCCGCCTTCTTTGGGGGTCCCTGCAGCCCGGCACTGAGCCGCTTTTTCCCTTTTTTTTTTTTTTTTTTTTTTTTTTTTTTTTTTTTATGAATGGGCTCGGAAGCCCGGTGACAAATTAAAGCGCTTTTCTCGGAGAAGCCAGCCGGCGTGCCATGGGTTCAAACCGAGTTTCAGCAACAAATCTCCCCATTCAGCGCGGGCCGGGAAGGGAAGAGGTGCTTCCCCCCCCATTCCTCCCGCACGGCTGGAAAGGATGCGATGGGTGGAGTGGGATGGGATGGGATGGGATGGGATGGGATGGGATGGGATGGGATGGGATGGGATGGCACCCCGCGCTCTCGCCCTGTCCGCTCGCCCTTTTACCTCCTCCCTCATCTCCCTCCGTCCCCTCCCGGCCCCGGGGCTGTCCCAGCGGTGGGGCCACGGGCAGAACCGGGGCCAGACCCCAAGGTAAAGGCGTTGGTGCCGCCCGCAGGCGCTGCCAGGCCCCGGTGCGGGGCGGTGCGGAGCGTGTCCCCCCCCCCAGCCCGTGTGCGGAGCCCGGGGAGGAGGTGCTTGCTCGCATCTCACCCATCTGTGCCGCTTAATTTTTATTTATCCACCCTTTAAACACCACCCCCTCCGCCCCCCCCCCCCTCGCCCCATACCGATTCCTTCCCGTTGCATTTTAAAGACCGAGGCCGTGCGAGTCGCCCCCCAGCCCCTTCGTCCCTAAACACCTCGGGTTATTTTTTGCCAACAGCTCTCCCCGGCGAAGCGGAGGGCTCGGGGCGGGGGCTGCGAGTTTTTCTGAATGGTGGCGAGGAGGAGCGTAGGGAAAGCGGTGATCCCTCGCTGCTGGCGAGCTGGCTGCCCCGATCGTGGGAAAGTGGCTGCACGTAAAGCAGCGGATTCTTTGTCCCTGTTGTTCTTCTGTAATCGATCTCACTTCAAGTCGAGGGGTGGAAAACTTCAAAGGCGGATCAGGCTGTTGGAGGTCGGGGCGAGAGCACAATCAGCTCGTAATGCACCCACTTTGCCTCCTCCCCCCCTCCGCAGCCCCCCTCCTCCTCCTCCTCCTCCTCCTCCTCCTCCTCCTCCTCCTCCTCCTCCAGGAGCAGGGGCTGGCTGGGCTGGGGGTGAGGGGAAGAGCCCTCCGATCCCTAAAGCACACCCCATCAATAAATAAAATGCAGACTTTGTGGAAAGAGGGAGGGAGGGAGGGAGGGAAGGAAGAGAGTTGGGGGCGTTAAGACACCCAAGTCAAACACACAGGCTCCTGACTGCACTGTTAATGTCTCTCCTGTCTTGTCTAAATAGCTGCTTTCTGGTCATATATGGAAGAGTTTTCGCTTTTTTTTTTTATTTTTTTTTTTTTTTTTTTTTTTTTTTCCCTCTAGGTCAATTTTAGGACTGTGCAGTTTACAGTGTAAGTTAAAGAAAAAAAAAAAAAAAGAAAAAAAAAAAGCTGCTTGGCACTAGCCGAGGGTTGTCCTTCGTAGTTTGTAGTACAAAGCAATCTCCTATGGCATGCAGTTTGAGCAGAGGAGGGAGGAGGGAGCACGAGCGGTGCCAAGACAATGCACAACCACTCTGTGGACATCTGCCATGTAGAGCCAGCTGCGGCTGGGATTTTGGTCGGAGCTGCCAACATGTGAAAACTGCATCGAGGGATAGAAGGGATATCCGAAGACATGGAAATGTGCTCTTGCACTTGCATGTGGGTAGACCAGAGGAGAAAAACTATGCAACTATTTCTGTTAACAGTGCTTCATGGCATTTTCTAAACAAGATATTTGGGATAAGATGTCAGAAAACTGCACACAGTCAGTACTAGATCCACCCCCAGATCTGCCTATCTCGGTTGGTGTCTTGAAGCTTTTTAGTACTGTGAGTAAACTGAATTTAACTTCACGTGATCGATAATTTTATTCCTCTAACTGACTTACTGGTATGTCTTGATTCAATGTTAAAACACACGTTGATTGTATCATGTAATTTTTCTTGGAAACTATTGAATTTGGTGAGTAACTGCTTAACAGAGATTAAGTTTCCCCCAGCCTCAGGTTGTGCCCACCTGGCAGTAGAAAAATGCATAAATAAGCTGCTGCCCAGGCCTATCTGAGCCTATTTTGGGATTCCCCTGTCATGAAAAAACATGGTAGCACATTAGCAAGCAAGTGGCTGGAGCAAGCTATTTTGACTGCTGGGTTGTGTCAGCAACTGTAATTTCGGGTATGCCTCAGACAGCAGAGAGGTGAAAAGATAACTGCAAGTGAGTTTGTCATCCCCCATGCATTAGCTGTCAGCTATGTCATGCTAGGGACAGGGTTTTAGCTGTTCTGATTTTTTTTTTGTCTTTTATTTCTATTGTTGTTAAAAATAAGCAATATTTTAACATTCTACACATACATGACAGACCCTCAAATATCTTTCCATGTGTACAGATAGCAATGGTCACTTCCAATTCTGCAATAGTAAGATGATTACTTAACAATGCATGGGCACATAGCACAGGTGGAGCTCATGGTTGTATTAGGACATTGTAAAGCTCATTTCCATTCAACTGACTGTAGCCTTCAAGTTACTTGCTTTTTCGATTTCAATTTTCTCTGTTTTTTGTTTGTTTGTTTGTTTTCCTCAGACTATTTTTTTCAGGATCTGTTTCAGTAAATATGATTCATCTCTGCTTAAATACAGGGAAAAAATTTAAAAGATAAAGCTGTTGCCTATTGTTTTACAGCATAACCATATTCTCAACAGGGTTGTTTTTTCAGTGTTTTGGGGTAAGGACTTAAAAGCAGGCAGGAACCTCTGTCAATTAGGAACAAGCCTTTTAGTGACATGCTTGTACTTGGTGTGATCACTGGGGCAGGATTTTTTTTGGAATGAATGGGTTATTTAAAAAAAAAAAATCCTTACGTCCAATTAACCCAGCCCATGCTGGCTTGGAGAACTATCGTTGCATTGTACATTTGCACATGGAATAGGAATCGTATTATAGCGGTAGGGCTACCATACATCTGATTTTTTTCCCCTTGGATGACAGCTCTCCTTCCCCTCACTCGCCCTCTGGGTCCCATCTGGGTAACCTTTTCATAATTGCACTCTGTGTTTTAAAATCTCTGCCAGAGTGGGAACTGGGGCTTTTTGTTTTGTTCTCTCTCTTGCTCACTCACTTTGTTTTGCTCCAGGGAGAACTAAGCAAGGGCTGGGCTTGGTCCTGTGTGGTATCTAATGAGAGCAGCAATAGAGCACAGGGGGAGAGGCGAGCAAAGTAATGGCAGCAACACGGAGCAGTTCAGTTTGGTGCAGATCCAAACTGCAGATGACTGTTTGGAGGATGATACTTAAGTGAGAGGAGACTTTGGGATGGGTTAATAAGGAGAATAGTGTTAATTTTACAAGGGGACTTTGGGCACAGGAGAAGTTTGGGGTAGTGACCTAAGCTGTGAAGCATTTGGGGAAAGGCACAAGATGTTGGTGTTGGATAAACCCCTCAAAAATTGAGTTTGATGATCTCTGAGTCAGGGGAAATTAGGATTCTTGCTCTGGGCACTTCTAACCATGACCTCAACTTATGGTAAGGAAAATATTCGGGCCTGTTGGACATCATCTCCCACCATGAAACAGGACAAGCAGAAGCAGTAGGCATGCCATATGGATCTTCTACATACCTGCAGCAGAAACAGATCACAATGCCTACCACTACCATGATACTATTAAACCTTTTAGATATCATCAGTAAGGTCTGGGGGCTATAAATGGGAAAAACAAATTTCTCCCTCCCTCCCTCTCTTATTCATTAGATTATTGCTTGCCAGTTAATCCTCTTGGAAGAGTAGGGTTTATCTCTGGGACACCTCATCCTATGGTACAGGCTGCAGGACAAGATAACTTGAGGGTGCTGGGAATTAATCTTTGCATCCCTCCTACCTCCATCCATATGCCTTGGAGTCCTACTGTAGCACTTTGCAGAGGTTAAGGAGAACCACTTTGTCTCAAATAGAAGAGAAAGAGCATCTCTTCTGCTCCATCATCATTAAGGTGAGTGAGTAATATCAAGAAGGCTTGATTGAAGGAAAGGAAAGGCAGAGGTAAAACAGGGCTGGTTGGCATAAGGTGGCACATAGTGGGTCAGAAGTCAACATAACAAATATTGAAAGATTCCAGTAGGATCAGCAGCTTTTCAGACTGAACGTTTTCAAAATTTTACAGTTTAATATTTGAGTGCATTTTTAAATATAATGGTGGTGATGTCTGCCCTTTGTCTATGTGTCAAGTTTCATTTAAATCTGAGTCTGAAGTTCCATTAATTATTTCCTTTTTTCATGTTGCTGTTGAGTTTTGGGCATACATCCCAGTAAATCCTTGCCGCACTACTGTTAGAGAGGTAGTAATATTACCACTAAGCAAATGAGAAACCAAGGCTTAGAGACGCTCCAGGTAAATCATGATGGATGTGGACATTTTGAGGTGAAACCTCAAAGTCCCCCAGCTGTGCAGGTACTTCCTATTCCCTCTCCTGTCTGCACTGAATACAAACTTACAATGAGACCTGAGCTCTCCAGTAGCATGGTGTGATACAGCTGATACTTTACATCACATCGTGGAGAAGCTAGAGTGCTGAGCATCTTATCCTCCACACCAGTTGTACAGTTTTGCACCAAAGCTATTTTTTTCAGGCATCTTTTGGATCCTTTCAAGATAGTAGTGTCTTTCTTTCCAGACATGTTCCTGTTATGTATGTTCTTGTTATATGTAATTAGGGCCAAAGGCACTTCTGACCTCAGACTCTGTGACAGTGCTTACAGGCAAAACTAGTTAGTTCTCAGGAAGTAAGTTAAACACATTTAGCATAGATGGTCAAAGAAGCTCAGTGGTAACCTTGCAAGTGACCCTGACAGACAAATCATGGCATTAAAAAGTCTCTGGCATGGCTGGGAAGTGAACCCAGACCTCCACAGTGCTTCCTCGCTTTTGCTAAACATGAGCTCTGCTTCACACTTACCAATACTACCCATATACCACCCATTCTTTTTCCCTCTTTTTTTTTTTCTTTCTTTTTTAATCTCTCCCTTTAGCACTTGCCTACTCTTTTTACTCTTCATATTCCGTTTTCTTTCACTTTTCAACTTCGACTTAAAATGCTCTATTTAAAAATCTAGGGGCCAGATCCTCGGAGCCAGCCAAACCACACATGGTGCAGGCCCAGGGTATAGGGAGGGGGAAAGTGGCTTTAAGCCATTTTTCATCTCCCTGGATTCTAGGTTGACTTGATGCCAAAGTGGCCCCTGGCATAACTGAGAGCAGGAATGCTCTAAATTACACTAGTTAGAACAGTTCCCAGGGGCCTATCCTATGCCACTTGCTCCTTTCCGCCTTGGCCACCTATGAAGGCCTCCTACACTGCCTTATTCTGTGCAGGGATTTCCTACGTTGGGGAATGCCCAGCTGCCCTATTACAGTACAAAGGTGATGGAGAATCATTCCCTAAACATTTCCAGTATAAATATAGAAATTCTGTTACAGAAAATTGCAGAGCTAACATAACATTAGCATTTTGTCATCTTAATGACTTTGCTTGAGCATCGCATTTTTCCTCCCTGCCTTCCATGTGTGTTTTAGTATTTTGACAGAGAAAGGGCTTGCTTTTCACTAGCCTGTAAAGTCTTCAAGGTGTGGACTTTTTAGGTTGAGTAAAGAATGGTATGGAGAACAATACAGGAAATATTTTATACTGGTGATGAAGGGGCAACTTTTTACTTTAGTGAGAATCAGAGTCCCAGGATGGCTGAGGCCGACAGGGCCCTCTGGAGCCCACCTGGTCCAACCCCTGCTGAAGCAGGGACACCCATAGCAGGCTGCCCAGGAGCATGTCCAGGTGGCTTTTGAAGATCTCCAAGGAGGAAGACTTCACAGTCTTGCTGGGTCACCTATTCCATTGTTCAGTCATGATGAATATCATGATGAATATTGCATGTGGTACTATAGTACTGCCATTTCCAAAAGGAGACTGCCATTATGGAGATGTGACAGAAGGGCTGGAGCATGGGAGAACCAAAGTGGG